TAGGGAAGGGCAGAGGTTCAGGGGGGTGGATGGGGATATATGGCTGGGGATTGAGAGAAGGTGGGAGATGCAAGTGCTGCGTGACACGCTACAGAGTTTGGGCCAAAAAGGAGACTTACAGGTGTCCAGGCAAGAATGAATAGCGGCCTCAACCAGGGCCGCTCATGGTGGGGATGGGTATAAACGGACAGACTCAAAGGACAATGAAGAGTGAAATGGGCGAGTCAACTGTGGTGTGGATGAAGAGCTCAAGGCGGGGGGCCCATCTAGAAGAGGCCCCGGGTTTCTGGTTTGGACAGCTGGTAGGTGGGGTTTGGCGCACTCAGACTGTGGAAGGTTCTGCCGGTCCATTCCTCAATCCTGTACCACTCAGCACTCATGACTGCTAACTGCTAGCATCTGCATTCTTCTGTTTGAGTTTCTCTGGCCCCCGAAGAACTTCTCCAGCCCCCAGCCCATTTTACTACAGGAAGGCAAAGAGGCTTAATGAGCAGCAGCCATCAGCTAGTAACTGGTAAGAGACGAGATGTAAACACATCCACTCCCTCGCCTCCTGGGGTAACTCCAGGTGCTGGCTGCACTCCGGCTGGCAGAGGTCCCCATCAGGACTAAGGCCTGGCTATCCACAGTGGAGGCTGGCTTCTTACAGCATGCTTCACTGCATGCCTACCTGTCCCCCTCTCTCACATGCTCCTCCGCTGTTACTTTCCAGAATCTTCCCTCCAGTTAACTTGAATCCACGTCTCAGGTCCAGTTCTGGGAAAACCCAAAATAAAGCACATAGCCAACTGGGAGTATCTTAGGATTAGGGAGAGATGTGTGTAGGGCGGACACTATTCTTAGGGGGCTTGAACTGCATACCCTGCATGTTATGTGGGTGAGCTGGGCCTGCTCTGTAGGGATGGGAACTTGGCTGGATGCCCCTTCATTCTTACCAAACAGAACCTTGATTTTTTCTTTCTTTCTTTTTTTTTTTTTTTTTTTTTTTTGGTCTTTTTGAGACGGGGTCTCACTCTGTAGCTCAGGCTGGTCTTGAACTCAACAATCCTCCTGCCTCAGCCTCGCCAAGTGCTGGGACTACAGGTGTGCACCACCACACCCAGCAGAACCTTGGTTTTTAATAAGGCAGAACAAGGGCTAGGAAAAGAAGGCCTTCCTTAGCCTCAGAGTATAAACCATGACACAGATGCTGATGCTCAGAGGGGAAGAATGGAGGGACTCTGGGCCCTTGGTGGCATCATTAGGCCACCAAATAATCCTGCCTTCCAGAAATCTTCATAGTTACCACTATTAAATGAGAGAAAGAATTGGGTGTAACTGCAAATGCTTGGATGTGAATCCCAGCTCAGCCACTTACTAGCTTTGTGATGACCTTGGATTACCTACCCTCCCTGGGCTTCCATATTATCATCTGTAAAATGGGGATATTAATGGTCCCACCACCATCAAATGGTTGTTAAATGAGTCGATAGATGTAAAAGCACATGGCATAGTGTCTGTACACAGTGTTCTTCACATGTGAGCAAGAGCTACTACTAACATGAGGCCAGGGCTTCTTGACCTTACCATGCACACAGACCAACTGGGGATCTTATTAAAATACCAATTCTGCAGAGAGAATTGAAGAGAAAAATGGAAATAGAGCTTTTCAAGTGCGAGAGGGATGAAGAGTTGGAGGGAATGGGAAGGGATGGAGCGGAAGAGGACAACAAAGAATTAAGATGTGTTATATACATGTATAAACCCCACGATAAATGTAATCATTACATATTGCAAACATGAACTAATAAAAAATATATAATAAAAAAATACAGATTCTGATCCAGTGGGTCTGAGGTGGAGCCTGAGATTTTATGTTTCTTACACACTCCCAGAGCATGCTGATTGCTGGATGATGGACCATGCTGAATTACAAGGGCTAAAGCCACTGTCTGCTGGTACTGTCACTGGAGCCCAAGGCATCCTCATTGACAGAATGACCCAACCCACATACACTCCTCCACTCCTCAGACCACAGCCAGAGTTTTCTGTACCTGTCCTTGGCAGCTGCTTCGTCAGCATCCTACAGGGGAAGGTCATGAGGGGCAGGGTCGCAGAGGTACCTAGCCAATTGCACAGCATACTGTAGATGCTCAGTAACATTTGTTGAGATGAAAATCCACATGGGAGCGCCCTAGTTCTCCCCTAGGAATGCATATGCCCAGTGACCCAGTGCCCACTTAGGCTGACCCAGCAGCATCAGGGTTGCAGCCCACAGGGCTGCTCAAGGGAGCTGACTCCCTGAAAGCCTCAGCTGGGCTGGCAGGAGCCCAAGGGGTGGCAAGAGGGAAGAAAACAGTCACACCCCTTCCTGTGTCAGAGGCTGGCATCTGGATCCAACCAGTGCCCAAAATACCTACAGAACAAGGAGGAGGTTGACTACAGCTCCATGTTCCCATGCCCCATCCATGACCCTTCCTTGCGCCGGTGCCCCACTCCCTCTTAGGGGGGCAACATGACCCCCACTGCTGGGCCAGCATCCCTCAACCTTCCTGATTCTTCCGCACTTTTTTCACCCCCTCCAAACCTTTTAATAGTCATAGCCAGTACTTACTTAGTACTAAGTATTTACAACATTTGCTCAGTACTTACTCTGTGCTAAACATTGTACAGACACAACTGTTTTTAGGGTGGCACGTGGTATCCAGTAGAACGTAAATGACCCCACGCAGCAAACTATCCAACACTTAATTAACAAAGCAAACAGTGAATACTTCCAGTACTTGGCATGTGCAGGCTAAGAGCTTTTTCATGTATTAACTTGTTAGGTCCTCACAAAAACTCTTCTAGTGGTCTGTACTATTACTGTCCCTATAAAAGGAGAAACTGAGTTTGGAGAAAAAGTAACTTCCCCAAAGCCAAGAAGCTATGAAAAAGCAGAACTGAGCAAAAGCCAGGGCTGTCTAGATGCTGAATCCTGGCTTTGAACCTGTCTGTAATGTAATTTTGATTTGCTGGTTCTCTCAAGCACATTTTTGCAAATAATACTAAAGCCACCTTCCAAGGCTCTGTAGGTGGAGGCATCACCTCGTCTCTCACTCACCACATTCTCCTACATTCTCCCTGTGGGCAAGTCACGTGCCCTCCTCAGCCTTCCCCTCCTCTTCTGTAAAATGGGCTACACCACACTGTCCTCCACATGACCTGATGCTCCTGACCTGCCCAGGAGCCCAACAAGTTGTTTGCCACACTCCCCAAAGCTCAGAGAGGCCTACAGACATGCCCAAGGTCACCCCGAGGGCCAATGGCAGAGCCAGGACTGGGCCCGAGCCTCCTGAGCCCACGAGACTCACACATCTGTCAGCAGGGACCTGCCATCCCCCAAGTGCTGAGGACACCTTCCTCCAAGTCTGGCTGCCCTGCCAGGTGTCTCAGGTTAAAGAAAACACTGGCTGCTTTCTTCCTCCTCCTTCTCTTCCTCCTCTTCTTTTTCTTCCTCCTCCTCCGTCTTCCACATGTCCTCCTCTTTTTCCCACCCCCTCCCCAGAAAGCCACTCAGAGGTGGGCGGAAGTGCAGTGTCTGCCAAGGCAAGGCCATTCACAAGAACAGAGATGCCCGGCTTTGGGGGACTGGGGGTGGACAAGGCTTTTGGCCAGGAGGAGGCCTCAGCTGAGAGGCAGAGCCAGAAATGAAGGGGTGCAAAAGGTGCAGGCAGAGCCCCAGGCCAGCCCACCCCACGCAGCTCACGTCTGCTCTTGAGTAAGCCCCTTAGCCAGTGCAGCCCGGTAGAACTTGCTGCCATGATGGAAATATTCCCTTTTCTGCACTCACCAACATGGCTGCCATGAGCCACATGCTGCTACTGAACACTTGAAGTATGGATCGTGTGACAGAAGAACAGAATCATTTATCTTATTTAATTTTAATTAATTTACGTCTACACAGTTATACGTGTCTAGTGACATCTGTCCAGGACAGTGCAGACCTTAACCCTTCTAAGCCTCAGGCTCCTGGTGTGCACAGCAAGGATCGTAACACCCCAACTCAGTCCCTGCCTCGGAGGACACGATGGTGAGGCAATGCGGTGCTGTGGGATAAGCCCCAGCTGGGGATCAGGACTCCTGGGTTCCAGACTGTTAACATGCTCTGTACCCAGGCAAGCTCCTGAATCTCTGTGAGTGCCTTGGTCATATGTACAATATGAAAGTCACTCTGGATCTAAATTTCATTGCCAGAAGCCTGGGGCGGGCTTTAGGGGGAATCTGGGCACCCCCACCATTATGAGAAGAGCGGTTTGTACAACTGTGTCTGTGAGAATGAGTGTGTGTTGGGGAAAAACAGGTCCAAAGTCTCCCCCCAAACCAAACCCTTAGTCTAGATGAATTCTTTTTCCTGACAGCTTTTTAAAAATGGAGTTTCTGGACTCCACTGCCAGAGACTGATTGGCTTAGGAGTGGGGTCCTGCCATCTGCATTCGTAACCAGGTCCCCAGTGGTTCAGATGCTCAGCCCTGGGAGGGGAGCCTGGTGTCAGGCAACACGGATGTCTTATGATTTGATGGACATGAAATGCCTTCTATCAAACCATACTTTGTATGTCTAAAATCCAACCAGGATTTAAGAAACTAAAAAAAGAGGAAACGATAATGATGATAACAAAACCTCTCTCAGTCCTTTGTTTATTTATCAAAACTGGGGCACAACACATGCACACCACTGTCCTGTGCTCTGTAAACAATAACCCGCGATTGCGTGGATTATAAATGTTTCATCCTCCTAATACCCATGTGGTTGGTGCTATCGACACTCTCTTACAGATGAGGAAACTGTGGCTCAGGAACAGGCCCTGCGAAAGCCACACAGCAGCGAGTGGCTGCTGCGAGGAAAAGAACACGAGGGGCTGGGACTCAGGTGGAGCGTGGGAACCAGCCCCACAAGCCTGGGGACCAGGGCTCCTGGGGGATTGATCAACCCCCAACCCCACAGGAAGACTGAGACAGGAGGCTGGGGCCCACACTCACTTGCCCTCCGAACCATAGCTGTTCATGCTGTCCTCAATGGACTCGTGGCTGGCCTGGCGCAGTGTCCGGCTGGGCATCTCCACAGCCAGGCCTGTCTCGGTGCTCCGCTGGATGGCCCCCTTCAGCCTCCGGCTGTCTCCTGAGCAAAGAGGCCAAGACAGATGGGGAGAGACACGGGGTTGGGTAGAGAGAGACAAGTCATCTGGTTAGTTTTAGCAGCTTGCAATGACCTAGCTTCAGCCCTGAACCCACCCCACCAATTTCATCACTGCTGTCCTCACCAGCAACCCTGTTCCCGGGGCAGGGCTGCCCCTCACACCCACCTAGCACACAGCACCACCTGGGATTTGTAGTGGATGGACTGACTTACGTGTTCTTTCCTCTTCCGAAATTCATTTCTCCCCTACAACCTTTTCCTTTTCCAAATAATTTCTTCCTCCTCTTCTGCTACTGAGCACCTACTACACGTCATACTCTCTGTTGGTGCTTTGCATGGATTTAGACAGGGTTTCCCAGCCTCAGCATGACCAGCACTGTGGCTGGCACATTGCTTTGTTAGAGAGTGGCGGGGGGATGTCCTACACACTGTGGAATGGCAGGCCACATCCCTGGCCTCTCCACTAGATGCTAGTAGCACCCTCAGTCCAGATATGACAGCCAAAAATGTCTCTAAACATTGCCAAATCTCCCCTAGGAGGCAAAATTCACCCTTAAGGACCACTGACTTCAGACTACTGGCTCTGAAACTAGGGGACTAGGTTTAACGCTTAAAATTTCTTTCTCATTGGCTGTGAGACTTTGCGTAAATTATCCAGCCTCTCTGCCTCCATTTCTTCAACTATAAAACAGGAGAGCGACAGGATGACACACTGGGTATTTCCTCTCTTAGCGCCACTTCTCTTACCACCAACTCACTCCTTCACATCATCCTCTGATCAAACACCGTCATATCCAAGGCCTTTCCTCACCACCTCCGGCCCCTCCAAGACAGCAGCTCTCTCCACCACGCATCCCTCTCTGTCCTAATGTCTTGCTTTGGGTTTTTTGCTGGGATTCACCATCCCGATGTCTTCTACAGTGCTGGCTCAATATTGACCAGTGTCCTTCATGTAGAAGGTAAACTCCGGGAGGACATGGAGCTCTGCTCACTGATGGAAGCCTTTGTGCCCCCAAAATAGGGTCTAATCCACTGTAGGTGCTCAACTAATAACTGTGGGGTGAGCTGGGGTCACCCTTAGAACAATCTTAATCCTCACACCCAGCTGTGAGGTGGATGCTACTGTCCTCCCTGCTTGAGTGCTGAGGACCAGGCAGAGAGGGGTCAGGGAGTGAACGAGGAAGTGTCTGCCTGCCCCTGGGCTCCACGGTTTCATGATTCACAGGAAGCTTTATTACTCTGCCTGACCCATGGAGACTGTAACTTGTTCTGGATATGTGTGTCCCAGGTCACCTATCCCTGGCCTCCTCTTGGCACCCCGCCCCCCAGCCTGACATTGGTGTCACCAACCTCCCTATGTGTATTCAGACGTGGGAGCTTTGTGTTTCCTAGGGCAGGTGCCTACGTTTCTGTGTTCATGTTATTCACATTCACAGACACCCACATACTCAGAAAAACACCCACCGACACGCAGGAATAGGCAGGCAAGACAAGGTGTGTGAAAGAATGTTTGAGTATTTCCATGAGTGTTTATTTACCTGCCATTCTGTTTGTTTCTCTGGCCAAAGAAGTATACATGTGTGTGCCAGACACACACACCTTGCACATGCATAAGAAGTCTACACCCGCCCACTGAAGAGAGCACGCAGAGACATGGGCGCTCCGTGTGTTTCTAGGAGTATCACCTGAGTGTTTTTGAACATGTGTTCCTGCTGTTTCTACTGCATCCCTCACTTCTTCCCTCAACTTGCATTTGCAGATTACTGGTTACTGCTTCTGTGTTGAGTTTAGCAGGTACAGAGACAAAGGCACAGAAACACACACATACATTCTCAGAAACAGATGTGTAGAGAGATGCCCCCCCCCCAGGAACACACACACTCTTACATATTCAGGACAAACACATCCTCCAGTAGGGCTTCAGACCCAGGACCAGGTACCTTCAGGCACCTGTAACACCTGCTGGGCTTCTGACTCCTACCCAGAGCCTCCTACTGCAGTCTCCACCCACCAGGGCCCCCACCAGGGCCGAAGCATCTCTCCCGGAAGAGGAAGGAGCCAAGATGACGAACCATCTCTTGGGGCTGAGGAGGAGGCTGGGGCACGCCACACATCTGTGGCATTCTACGGCCCTTGTGCATTTCACACCCAGGCTGCTCAGCCCCACAACAGCCCTGGGGCAGCACACGTGGGAGCCTGGCCCTGCAGTCAGACTGCCTAGCTGAGACTGGGGTAAACCACACAGCCCTTGCTCCACCAAAGGTAAGTGATGGACATCAGCCGTGAGCACAGCACATAGTAGGTGCCACCCAGAAACTAGCTCCAGCTGCTGCAGAGAGAGAAAGACTTCCGACACCTCCAGATTTAACCTCAGCGGCTGTATTGTCGATGCCCTCACAGACAGGCCGCCTTCCCCAAACTAGGGGCCTGGCTGTACTCAACCACACCAACAGCACTCACCATCTAACCCTGGTCCCTGGGCCCTTCCACTCGTTATTTATTGCTGTCTCCACCACAGGCCCTGAAGTGACTGTCCCAATGTTTCCATACTCCCTCAATACTTGATCTTTCTCCCACTTGCCTGAAAAGACATTTTCTCTGTGTTTTTCCCTTTCTCATTTCCATATTCATGGCTTCAGCATGTCACCTGGCGCCCGGAAGCTCCCTCCACTAAGAGGAAGGGCTCTATTTCTCCTATGGGGGCTGATCTACATCTGTCCTCACCTCTGCCTCCTCCTACCCTCATCAGGGCCTCTTCTGCCATTTGTCCTTACCGGGCCCCTCTGTCTTTGCCTTTCCACTCCTCCTGGAGCCCACTTAAGACTTTACTTGATCACCATCACCCTTTACCACCAGGCTGCTCCAGGGAACAGGCTCTAGCCACCATCTGCCCAACCTCCTGCTCTCTTACCTCTTGTAACATGGCTCCCACACCATCCCTGCCCCATTCACATGGCTTAGCTAGTCTCCAGGACTGCTCCTGACCAGGCACACGGCCTCATCTTAGGCCCAACCCCTGGAACACAGGTTTTCACTCTCAACACAGGTTTCTGAGCACCCTGCTTGGCAGAGGCCCACACAAGGTATTACCCACACTTTGAAGGGCTGGCTTCCATGGGTACAACACCTCACAGGAGACAGAAGAATGAATAGCCTTGCTTCTGGTCCACAGGGGCCCAGAAATAGTCCCTTGCTTGACCTGCTATGGTGAACAGTGTGATATTCCACCTAGATCTCCTCCTTACTTTTTTGGTTTGCTTTTGTAGTACTAGAGATTGCACCTAGAATTTCCTACATGCTAGCCAGATATTCTAGCCCTGAGATACATTCCCAGTCCTTTTTTTTTTTTTCAAGACAGGCTTGGCTGGAACTTATAATATTTCTGCCCCAGCCTCCTGAATAGCTGGAATTATAGGTGTGCGGCCCATGCCTGGCCTATGAACTCCTCCCCACATCAGCAAGCTTAGGCTTCTACTGGCCAGCACCTGACATGGGTTGTTTCTGGTCTTCTCTCGGGCTAGGAGTTTACCTGACTACCACACAGGCAGAGCATCTGGGAGTGTGAGACCCCTGCCCTGCTGCTGCTCTGATCTTAACCGAAGACTACACTGGGCAGAAGATCCCCACTCAAGCTCAGAACCATCTGACACATGGTGCAGGCTCTAGAGCAGGTCTAGGGGATGGATCTCGGTGTGTTCTGCCTGCAAGTACACCTTGCCCTCCCTTTCCTGTTGTGCTGCCCCAGTCTCCTCTGCGAGTGCCTCTTCATATACCACCTCACAGGGACCTCATCACAAGATAGGCTGGCACCCCAAGGAGTCAAGACGCAGAACTTTCACATAGGTGGGCACCGGTATTGCAAAGGAATCACCACTGCCTCCACAGGAGGTGGACATAAAAGAGTCACTGCATAATAAATGCTGCTAAGAGGAGGGTACACTTTCCAGGGATGGTCATGGGGCCAATCACAGGCTATGTCACATACCATTATCTTAAGACACCATTGTAGGAGCTTGGAGTCTGCGGCCTGTAAATTCTGGGTCTGACACTGAGACTGTCCTCAAGGCCGGCCACCCTGATGTATAATACATTGAGCTTGGATGACTCATTTTTTTGACAACCCACTCATATTTGCTGTACCCACAACTTAAAAACTGTACAGCTTGCACTTTTTCCTGCAGAGTCCCAGGATCCTTCCCTCCCAGCTTGTACAGAGTATGTGGGGGAAGAAAGGAAGGTACATGGATTGCTGAAGTCCTGCCAGGAGGCAGCAATGACTTGGGGTTACCAGCCCCACCGTGTGCCAAACACCATGTTAGATGACAGTTCAGAGGGGGGGCTGTTGACCATGAGCAGATGACCACACTAACTGATCACAAGTATGAGAAGTGCTTGGAAGAGCCAGTGCAAGAGGTAACAAAATGACAGCTCCCATGGGTGGGGGGAAGCTGGGAAGGAAAGAGAACAAACTTAGGCTACTGTTACTTTCATCCTCTGAGGCAGAGTCACTTCGACACCTCCTTCTTTGACATCCTTGATAGTACTTTATCCTGCGTCTCTTCCTGCCTCTGACCACTGCCTTTATCCTGCCCTGTTCCACCCTATTCCTGCACATTAGCAGCCCCCCCATCTATCTCTCTCTCCCCTCACACAAATACACATTAATCCTACGTCTCTGTTGCCCTTAACTCTGATCATAGCAGCAATACTTCAACTGCATTCTGGACATCACTGCTTAGATAAGGAGCAGGTTCCTTGCATTCAATCTGAACCAAACAACACCCACACTGGCCCCACTTTCCCCATTCAGCTTCTCGGATTTACGTTCCAATCTGCCCAGCTACCCAAACTCAGAACCTCCCAGGAGCGTAACAGCTTTTTTCTCTCGCATCAAATGCCAGGCCTTATAAAGTCTTTGCCATTAATAACTCTTTGCCACTAATATCTCTTCCTTCTCGTCCATTTTCACAGCCAAGCAGCCC